GGAATAAGGGTGGCTGAGCAGGGAATAAAGGTGGATAACTGGGAATGAGGGTGGCTGAGCAGGGAATAAAGGTGGATAACTGGGAATGAGGGTGGCTGAGCAGGGAATAAAGATGGCTAACTGGGAATGAGGGTGGCTAACTGGGAATGAGGGTGGCTGAGCAGCCCCACCTGGGCAGGGGCTGTCTGGCCAGAAGCAGAACCTCTCGTGGGCCGCGCTCAGGGCCCTCCTCAGCTCCGCACAGCGCTCCCGGTCTGCGGGAAAACACGGATAGTCCCTGCCCACCACCATTCCCAGCCATTCCCGGCCATTCCCGGCCATTCCCAGCCATTCCCGCCCTCCCTCCCCACCAAAAGCTGCCCGAAATTCCCTGGAATTCCACCCCCCCCAGGCCCGAATTCCCGCCCGATCCCAGGCAGGGGAGCACAGCCGGACCCTCCCGGGCACCGGATCCCGGAAAGGGCTCCCGAGGGGGAAGGGACGGGCCTGGGATTATTCCCGAATCCCGGCTTTTCCCGGGATTCCACGCACAGGTTCCGAGATCCAGGGAGAGCTGGAGGCGGGCGCAGAGCAGGGCCCGGCAGCTGGAGCACCTCAGGAGGTCACATTCCACGTTTTTCCAGCCCCAGCGGGCACATTCCAGAGGGGAGAGGGCCGCCGGCTTGCCCGCCCACTTCAGGGGGTGGCCCGAGTTAAGGAATGGGGGGAAAATTGGGAATAACGGGGGGAGAAATGGGGAAGGAGGGTGGGAGAAAATGGGGAAGGAGGGTGGGAGAAAATGGGGAAGGAGGGTGGGAAAATGGTGGGAAAAATAGGGGAAAATGGTGGGAAAAATGGTGGGAAAATTAGGGAATAATGGTGGGAAAATCAGGGAATAATGGTGGGAAAATGGTGGCAAAATTAGGGAATAATGGTGGGAAAGATAGGGAATAATGGTGGGATAAAATAGGAAATAATGGTGGGAAAATGGGGAATAATGGTGGGAAAATGGGGAATAATAGTGGGAAAAATGGGGAATAATGGTGGGAAAAATGGTGGGAAAATTAGGGAATAATGGTGGGAAAATCAGGGAATAATGGTGGGAAAATCAGGGAATAATGGTGGGATAAATAGGGGAAAATGGTGGGAAAAAATAGGAAATAGTGGGAAAAAATAGGGAATAATGGTGGGAAAAATGGTGGGAAAATCAGGGAATAATGGTGGGAAAATTAGGGAATAATGGTGGGATAAATAGGGAATAATGGTGGGATAAAATAGGGAATAATGGTGGGATAACATAGGGAATAATGGTGGATAAATAGGGAAAAATGGTGGGAAAAATAGGGAATAAAGATGGGAAAAAACAGGGAATAATGGGGGGAAAATTAGGGAATGGTGGGAAAAATAGGGAATAATGGTGGAAAAATAGGGAATAATTGTGGGATAAAATAGGGAATAATGGTGGGAAAAATGGTGGGAAAATCAGGGAATAATGGTTGAAAAAACAGGGAATAATGGTGGAGAAAAAAGGGAATGATGGTGGGAAAATGGAGAATAA